TGAAACTCTTTCTCTGCAGTCTAGAGCAGGGGAGCTCTCAGAGTTCAACTGCCATTGGCAAATGCCATTGGGAAAGAGAGATTAATATTAGGGATATAGGTCTGCACTCTGCACTGCATTCCGAGAGTGATATTACCACCACGTTACTACTTACCATTTAAGCCTAACCTACAACCTAAGGAGAGCTTAGGCAAAAGGCAGCCGGTGGAAGTAGATGCACAATGGCGGGGAACAGTGGCGGTGAACAGTATTCATAGACCGGAACAGAAGCGGTGAATAGTGGCCGTGTTTAACGAAAGAGAGATGAACGGTGGCGGTGAACAGTAAAAATTAATAAAACGTCTCATGACACTTGTAGTAGATTGTCCAAAATAAAAGTTTGGATACTAAATTGGCACTCGCCTTAAATTACATGGTAGTTATCGGAAATTTTCACTTTATTATTTGAAATCTACAGTTTATATGAAATTAAATTTTTAAGACATAGGATAACTTGTATAGCCTCTACTACTAAAACATCTAATTCTAATAGTGAAAAAGATAAACTTTAGCCTATAATAAATAAAAGGCAAAATCATTAAGTTCACTTATTGAAGTTAGTTTTTATTTAAAAAATAATTTTACTGATTTAACATATTCCCTCAAGTTGGAGAAATTAAATAATTTTGATATTTTAGCATGTTTGACTGAACATGAAAAAAAGTACCTAGTTCTTGCTGCTATGATACGTGATCTACTAACCCTTTCAGTGTTTACAATTCCATAGAGTCTTACTTTAGTGCAGATATTACGGTACTAGACAATAAGAGAAGCTACATGAACAACGGAAGCCTGGATATGTGTATATACTTAAAGGATTGACTTGATGTTGATGATAGACTACAAGATCAAGGAGGCTTGGCACTTCACATGATGTTTCATCAGAAGCAGGTGATGTAAATCAAGATGAAGGTCAAGAAAGATGAGGTGGAACTTGAAGAAAATAATGAAATCAATATTTTCTTTGTATACTTAATAATTGTATAACATTTTTAAAATTATTGTAAAATTTGTTTTTCAATTTTATTTAAAAGTTTTTACTTATTTGTGATTTTTTTCAATACCATTGTATAATTTTATTTTTAATTTATTATATTATTTTTATATTTCATTCCAATTCTAATATTCCATTATATTTTTTCAATTTATTTTTTTACTTTGTATTCATTAAATTCAAATGAAATAAAATTTCTGAAAATTTCTTTTCAATTTGTTGTCTATTTTGTATTTTGTTAGTTTTTTTTGTTAAATATTTATTTTTTCTAAAATGTATATCATCTTTGACTTTACTTATCAAAAAGTGAAAAGAATAATAAAGAAAAGACAGCACAACTTGGCCTAGGCCCATGCCCCGGCTTAGCACAAGCCCACATGGGCTCCATGGGCTATGTCTGGCTTAACCTTTTAGGGTTTTGAGCCAGGCAAGCACAACCCACTCAAGCCTGCATGTTGGCAAGGGCAGCTTGCAAAATCATGTCATGCCGACACAACACAACTCACTTGACATCTCTAACCTAATCTATTTACATCCTTAAGTGGAAAGGCCAAAAATCGACATTACTCCATCCATATCCATGGTATCATTTGATTGGTTTGTGCTAATCTTATACTAGTGGGGATCTATGCTATGCATGTTATTTATAAAGGGAAAGTGACAATAGAAACTGATAACTATTATTATAAGTAAGGTATGCAATGTTGTTTAAAATAATTAATATTTATTTTAGTAATTTATTACAAAAAAATAATTTAGTAATTTAAAATAATAATAATAATAATAATAATAATAATAATAATAATAATAATAATAATTTATAACAAAAATAATAAGTTACTACTAATTTCTTACCAATATAATTATTTTTCCACATTATTTGTTAGTGTTTTATTTCCTTTATTTTACTTTATTAATGATTAAATGTTATAATTTATTACAAATATTACTTAAATATTAGTATATAAAATTAGGTTGTAGTCATAATTAAATTAATTTATAGATTAACTTTTTTAGCCATAATTAAATTAATCTATGCCTAAGCTCAAGGTTTAGAACTTTGGGTTAGGCTTGGATTGAACCTCAACTTGACCCAAGATGCCCAAGTTGCACCCCCTAAGAGCAATGTGACATTCATAATTGGAATGAACACAGAGTACAATCCATGCATGCATTATTTTTGGGCTTTTAACTATTTTTAGATAAGAATTATTAATATTGAATGGAGGAGCTATGGGATGGGCTACCCCCATTGTACAACCTAATGAATCAAAATAAATAAATAAATAGTTAAAAGATCTCATGCTAGGTTTTGATAATGTATTAATAGTTTTTAAGGCTGCGTAGCCCAACTTGACCCACACCCCAATATTGCTTGTGTTAATTATAAAATGATGATTTTTTATAAATTAAATTTTTATTTGATTTTAGTGTATCATAAAAAATATATAAAAAACTATATCTAGGGCTATTTGCTAGGGCTATCGATTTCAAATCCAATTATCCCAGATTTGAATGTTAGAACTTGCATTGATCCGATTAAAATTCAAGTCTGAGAATATATATATATATATATATATATATATATATATATATATATACATATATATATATATATTATATATGTGTGAAATATAATTATGTATATATATAGATACTATGTATAATTATATAAATTTTATACTTGATAAATTTAATATTTAATATTTATATACATTTATTATACAAATATACTTCAAAAGGTTAGTCTTTTAAAACTTTTTTTTTTACTTTTTGGTCATTTCAAACACAATAAGATGGTTTTGGATTAAATTTGAATGATCTGGAATCCAACATAATAATGAAATGCGGATGCGGATGTAATTGGATTCGATATGAATCCAATCCATTTACAACTTTACTACCTACATTAAAGATGTTTGGTTCCATTGGCATTTATTGAAAAAACGCTGCCACATCAGTGTCACATGGGCATTTATGTTTATTGCATATGAAGTCACTATTTGGTTTCACCATTTTATCAAATAAACACTAAGAAACTGAAATGCTTGGTTTTTTTTTGTGCATGGAGCATTTGGGGAAACGCCAAATTTTTGTTTCCCCTAACACACCAACATTCCCTGAAACGAAATGCTGATGTCACATACACTGATAAAAAAAAATGCTGATCCCACATGCTTTTATTGGTGTTAATCTGAGGTGGAAAGCAACAAACCTTTAAAATGATGCCCAACCAAACAAAAAAAAGTAAGAAACATTTAAAGCAAGATAGTACAAATAAACCTTTAAAGTAATAAATGGCTTTATTGTAAACTCCAACGAAACCAAACATATACATTATGTGTGAGCTTGGTGCATATTTGAGCTTGCCCTAGCTCAGAAAAAAATAGTTGCTTGAGCCTAGAAATGATCATCCCTGAGTAAGTTTCTTATGACATTTCTAATTGGCCATTTTAATTATTTTTTAAAATTTTTATATAGAAATTCAAATGATTGTTTTATTACTTTTAATATTTTTTAATTTGTTTATTAATTTTAATTATCCTATTAATATCAGTTGTTTTTAAATAAAATTCAAACATATTATATTTTTAATTATTAAGTATTAATTTTTATTAAATTCTTAATTCTTAAATGTTGCTAGATAAAAATTTGCTAAAATTTAATATTTTTATTAATTTTAGTTATTAGGTTTCAAATTATAACTTTTTTTTGAAAATTAACCAATTAAATAGAATTTGAATATAAAACAAATAATAGATGAGAGTGAAATTTTCTCTTTGGAATACAATGGGCTAATAATGGAAGAGCCTATAGATATATGCTAAAATAGGTTAAATGATGGAAGGGGTGGGACCTATGCCATAGATTCCCTCTCACTATTTTTAGGTGATTTTTATCAACTAATTTTTAAACTATTATTTATTTATGGGTTAGCTAGGCCATGTTGGCCTTAAAGTATTAGGCCAAAGCTTGGCCCTGAAATTTGTGGGCTTAATGTAGGAAAAAGCCTGAGCCAAACTGAATTGATCACCCCTAAGAAAATTGCCTTTGTTTTATTAGATTAATGAGGAGAGGAGAGAGAGAATAAAATAAAATAAAAATGGAAGAGTAAATTTTAAGCAATTTAATGGAATAATTGAAAGAGAGAATTAGTAAAGTGAGTTGGGAGAAAGTGTTCATGGAATGATTAATGAGTGATAATCAAAGAGATAATGAGACAGAGAAGAGAGAGATAATGATGACAAAGAGAGATGAAAATTTTAAATTGGTTACTTGAGTTATTTTGTTTAATTTTAAAAGTAAAAATTAAAAAAAGCACAAAATAGATTATGATAGGGGAGAAAGGATAGCATGCTGAATTATTAACTAACACATTAATTTCTACATTTAGCTTCATTAATTCCTATTTCAAATTCAAAATCTCTCTCAAACACATCTTTCCTAATTAATTAGCTCCCCTCATTAATATTCTTATTTACCTCCATCTACCCCTATTCATTGACACACCCACCAAAAGGCCAAACCAACATATTTGTTGCAATTGTATGTATTTTAAATTTTAACGTTTGGTTATTTTCTTGGTGCATATTTATTAAAAATATAAAAATAATTAATTATTAGCATTTATATATACCTATATATCTCCAGTTCTATACTTTATTAACATAAATGTGTTTCCTGTATGTACATACCTTGCTTATAATCACGTAAGACTTGGATTTAGTGCCCATCGTTGTGTTCTTTTAGGATTTATTGGAGTTTCTCTATTGCATACATTTTTTTTTTTTTGTGCACTGTAACCACTTTGAAGCTTGGATAAGAAGTATCTTTTTTTCTTAGAATGGCTCTGGAAGTATCAGACCTTATATTGGCAGGCTTGCCACATACTAGGACAAATGCTAGTATGTGGAATCATATGCTATGGGAATAATTTAATTGTGCCTTATATTGGCAGGCTTGCCACTTAATGACACAGACCACTGGGTCCCACAGAATTGAAACTGCAGCTCAGGTGGAGGTACATGGATATGGAAAACTTCCTGTTCTAATGATTAAAAAATGCAACACGTTGCACTGAATTTGAAAGAATTAGAGCTAATTCCACTTCTAAGGGCTGCAAGCCCCAGTAAATCAAAATATAACGAGGAAAAAAAAGAGGCTCTAAGGCCTACACCCACCAGCTTTGTAGTACGTATTTTAATGGCATTTATTGCCTCAACCAAGCAGGTTACTCCACTCTTTACAACTTGGGATTAACACGCCACTTGCTTCAATGATTCTGTACCCTCAGAACTTGGTGAATCATGTCGTACACCAGCCAAATCTGAAGCAGCCTTCTTTTGCTTAATAAGTCCAGTCAGTATACTGTCAATTTGTGCAAACACCTCCTCCTTTGGAACATTCCCATTGACCTGCAATCAACTAATAACTAGTGAACTTGGATATTTTGGGAGCGTACAGCAGAACCTACAATGGTTTATATCTATCATTCATGATTTTCTACAAAATTCACTCTGCAACTGGCCCTGTAGAAATGAACGAGTTTTTAACTTTAGAACAATAAAACAACAACTACAATGTAAGATGCCAAGGGAATTTTTGCAAGGGCTATACACAAAAAAATAAAAATGGTAGGGAAAGAGGATGATGCTACTGGATTTTTCATGAGTGAAAATGGTCTCAGAAAGGCACCATATAAATTGGTTTAATAGTAAATGAAAAAAAAAAAAAGTATAAAGCAAATCCATCACCACAATAACCTAGAAAAGAAATGAAAATAAATAAAAGAAATAATGAATGTATTCACCATCCTATTAACCATTGGTCTTCCTCTACTTGGGCATATACAAGAGTAAATTTTCTAGCAAGCCACCTCCCATAGAAAGAGGCTTGACTTGAGCATGACTTAAACCTCCATAAAGATCACATGATTCACATGAAGCAAAAAATCCACATTAAAAGGCACCTGAAAATTTTAAATTCCATGAAATACCAGAATACAAGTAGAACACGAAAGAAAATTGAGAAGTGAAACTATATAAAGGCCTGCAAAGATGGTGCAAATTGCAACCTACCAATGGTCTTCTCAAGACCTAATCATAGTCCCTAAACAGCTATCCATCCTTCACAACTGATCAAGTGCCGAAGGCACGGTAAAGCTTTTTGTTGCCTTTTCTAGAAGAATGATGGTGTCTTAATCCACACATGCACAGAGCCACAGGCATAGCAAGAAAGAAAATGATAACAAAGAAAACGGATCATAGTAGTTATATACTACTTCCAGTTTATTTCTTTTATCCTGCATTCATATTTACATTTATATTAAATTGCCAACTAAATATGGTGTTATTTTCACATGCCTTGACTGTTACACCTTCATATCTTGAGAGTACAGCCTCGACATTTTGATGATGAGTCCTCAGTCGAAGTTTTACCTGGATCAAGCCAAAAAGGGTAGAAGAGAAGTAAAGTTATAAAGGATCAAGGTTTGCTCCCGAGTATTTTAATCAATAGAGACAAGAATATGATCTACATGCTGGTTGTAAACTGAAGCTTGCTCCTGACGTGTGTGTATATACAACAGAATATGTTTACACATCATGACTTCATGAGTGCTAAGCTAGCAAAAAGAGAGTAGAAACTAAGATCCACTCCCCCTCCATTGACTTGCACATGTCCATCCAAAAGTTTATCTTGTTCTTTTAACATGGGTAATGGAGGTTGTTTTAGTTATACATTTAACATTGTGGAGCATGTGTGAAAGAAAATGCAAGAGTAGGCCATTATTCCTACTCCTGTCAGCATTATTAGGTCGACAGTTGGCACATAGTTTAGGCCAACACAACATCCAGATGGTTAACAACTAGATTTAAAAGAAGCAGTAAATAAACAAAAAGAGAATCAAAGAGTACTATGGAAAAAAATAATGGAAGAGAATATCTACTAAGTAGAGGGGCATTTTTAACAAATAGCAGCTTAGTCATGCCTTTTCTTCTGTATCATCAAACCGTTGTGTAAGTCTTGCAGCAATTTCTTCAGTTTCTGGAGGAGAATACTTTAGGTGGTATATCTTTCCAGTAACTGGATCAAGTCTTCGGCCAACAACTCTCTCAACAAGGATCTCTTCAGGGACCTGCAAACATCAAAATAGCACATGCAGAAAATTTATAAAGCAAAGTTCAAATAAATGATTAAGACTATATGAGCAGAAGCTATGTGGTTTAACAATATGTAAGCTCTTTGACTCTTTTTTTAAGGGTCAAGAGATATCTCAATGCGACCTCTCTTGCTACCTTGGCTCAATAATCAATATCAACAGATTAAGAACGATAAATTAGAACATGGTTTAAAATACCCATACATTTCCTAATATTTCCACGACATATTTCCATTTCCATGGGTAGTGACATGAATTTTTACTGGAATCAAAATATTCCCCAGTGAACACAACCAACACCACGTGGAGTGCAAGAGGTAGTTTCCACGACATATTTACATTTCCGTTGATAGTGACACAAAATTTTTCTGGAATCAACATATTCCCTAGTGAACACTAACAGCACTGAGTATAAGAGATAGTATTATGGTGACAATATTGTAGATATGTATCAATAGTTTCCACTTTGAGCCAGCTTGATGTTCATTTCAAACATGCAGTCCATCATGTAATTTTGAATCTTAAGGTTTATGGAACAACTCCAAAACATATGCTTTTGTCCAAAGCATAGTTTCCACTTATGCTTCTTTTATCATTTCATGAAGTATCGTTATATTTTTTTGCATATTTTACAATGTTTCCACTATTCCTATATTTTTTACAATATTTCCGACATGTTTCCTATATTTGGATGAATGACATTTCCACCAACACCGATATTTTAAACCTTGATTAGAGCAGGATGGACAAAAAATGGAGGAACGCATCTGAAATTTTATGTGATAGGAGAATACCACTAAATGGCTAAAAGGAAAATTTTATAGAAATGTTATTAGGCTAGCAATGTTGTACAGAGTAGAGTGTTGGGAAATTAAGAAACAGTGTAAAAAAAAAAGTGTTGTACATATGCCAATGTTGAGATCAATGAGTGGGAAAACTAGAAAGGTAGTAGACTAAGATAGTTTGGGCACATCCATAGACCATCTACAGCAACAGTGAGATGTGGTCTATTAAAAATTGAAAGGGCCAATAAGAACCAGGGGCAGACAGAAAAAGGACATGGGATGAAGTAGTGAGAAATGATTCAAGGGTCCATATATAACAATGGATATGGTATTGAACAGAATGGAATGGTAGAACTGGATTCATGTAGATGACACCATAGATGGGACAAATAGTAGAGAACTATAAACTAGAGGTAATTGAAAGAATGTTACCATTTCTTTTGGGCCAATAAATCTATTTCTTGCACACTGATCTATTTATGGAAAAAAATTCAATATTTATTATGCTGTTTGGCATGATCTCAGAGAATTAATTCTGTTGAATTTTGTTAATCTAAGAATCAGCTTTAAATCTGGATGATTGAATGTATGAAACTTGCTGAAACTAAAGCTATTTAAGGCTCCAAACTCATTCTAAGAATAGATTCTTTGGAGTTAAAGTATTTAGCTTCAAAAAGGAATTATTATTATTATTATTATTATTTTTTGCTCAAAACTCATTCTTTAAATGGTGATTCTTTTGATCAGGGATTTTAACCAAGAATTGTCTATTGCTTACTTCTAGAAGAATAAAAAGGTCTGGCTGGATGCCAAAGTCTTCAAGAGCCTTTGCTTGAGATAAGCTCCTTGGATATCCATCTAAAAGCCAGCCACTTTCCTGAGAATCTGGCTGCAACAAGCGCTCCTTCACCATCTAGATAATAAAAAACAAGTAAATAAAATCCCATTGATGAAGTAAAAGGCGAACCAAAATCACAAAAAGGGAAAAATGGTAAAGGTAAAAATAAAATAAAAATAATGAAAACTACCATGACAACTATTTCATCAGGAACCAACTGTCCTTTTTCCATATGTTCTTTTGCTTGCTTTCCATTTTCAGTCCCAGCTGCAACTTCTGCTCGTAGTAAATCTCCAGCAGCAATGTGCACCAGTCCATACTGCAATTATAACATGAAAAATCCATTAAGTAAAACTGGTCATCCACACAGATTCCCAAGGCATGAGAAAGTTCATATAGAAAGATTACAAGATGAGTACATAAGACCTTTGAACATCCAGGGAAATAGGTAAACATGCAGATTCTGTCAAGTGTCAAAGCCAAAAGAAGGCCATTACCCAATGTTGGTCCTAACTATCTGGGGTATTGGGAGAGGCAGACTGGGTATCGTCAGTATCTTTGGCACTTTTTTGCATAGTAACCACTCTCAGACACGACCTGCATTCTCACACTTGCCAGCCCGAGATTTTACCACTACACCAAGTAATGGCCCCTATATGTTGTCAAAGCCATAAGCCATCTACGCAAATGGCAAGATAGTCATTTCTATCACTAATTCACAATATCATTATGACAAAACCATAAAAGGCACCATTCACAGGGATGAACAATATAATAATAGTTTCTATAGATCCATCTTTTACGAAAGAGCCAGTGGTCAAATATGGAATTGTCTGAAATTTTATGTTTTTCATGGAATATTCTGAAATTGTTATGTTTTTTCCTAGTTCAGACAGCAGGGATATTTTTGTTGGATTATAAATCTGTAGGTCTGACCATAGGGTCTGATATGTCTGTCTATTTATAGTTGGTTTATATTTAAAGTTTCAAGTTCATTGCAAAGTAATTTGGGATTTATTCAATTTCCATGAGTCAAAGTAGGACTAGCAATTCTGTAATTTTCTGTTTTTTAGTTGCATGACATTTGTTGCTTAGTATTCCAATAGTCCATAAATTCGTATAGAATGTTTTAAACAATGAAATAGATTATGAGTTCATGCAACTTATATTAATACCGTTAAGTGATTCCAATAGTCCATAACTAACATGGGTTTTATTTCACTTCTTTCTATCTTCTCTCTAATTCTGCAAACATTACATCCATAAAGAGCCCACAAAATTATTTATTAAATCTTTTCATTTGACAAGGACTGAATGATCCAAATACATTCTTCAATTTACTTTAAAACATGAAAATTTCCCACTTTAGCAGCTTTCGCTCTTTTCTGCCAAACCATCTTGAAATGCCCTCATGTTAGGTTGCCCCTAAAAGGTATATTACCCAAGGTTCAAAGTATCGATACCCAATACACACAAGCATGCATATTGGGTGTTTCAGTACTACAAAAAACCAACTTTTTTCTTTCATACTTTAAATGTTATTTAACATTTAAAACCGACCGTTTTGCGAAAGGCCTTCAAAATGGCATATTGGCCACCTGCCAATATGATATGACACACCCTATGTCAGACAATATGGGCCGTATCGTGTCAAAATTTTGAATCTTGATATTACCCTTGGTTCTACCAAATTTCATCCCAAAGCTTGCCCTGGAATACTTGGCCCCCCTTAAAGCAGATATGGAAGCCAAGAAAGAATCCATGGAGAATTAAATCAGTTTTCCAATTCCTACACCAATTTCAACCTTACTATTTATAGTGCTTCTTTGTAATTACTTATTAAACTCATTATTTATCTTTTGTTCCTTTACACTAAGTTAGTTTTAGTAGGATTAGTAAATTTTCATTATAATCCATATTGGAGTGTTCCTATGCATTACCCATGAATTTGTCTTAGTATTTAAGTGATTAAAAGTTGATTTAGGTCAGTTTCCTAAAGTAATTAAAAGGGGGTGAGAAATGGGAGGAAGGTGAAGGAAACGTCAGATTTTGTTGAAGAAGAATGAAGGGAACTGAGGGTTGCAGTGCAGGTGAGAGGGTGACTTTCCATGTTGGTTCCAAGGCTCAGCTGGTTGTTCTAGAGGATGCTTCAAATTTTGGGATGCTGGTTTTTTCTAGTTTCTTTTGGGTTGATTGGGGTGTAAGTCATTTGGGGGCCTTTTTTTTGGGATTTGGGTGTCTGTTGTTTATTAGCTCTTTTGGAGGTGTTCCCTCAACACCTATCTAGGTTATATTTGTTTTTTCTTTTTTTTTTATTTTTCTTTTTACTTATAAAAAAGGTCAGTTATTTATCAAAAAAAAAAGGTCAGTTTCCTAGTCCAATTTGGAGTCTGTAAAGGCACATCCGAGTTCATAAGTTGTGTCTATAAATACAGTCATTGTAATTGCATCTAGAAAAGAGCTTATTTGATGAAATAAAATTTGGTTTAGTAAATTCTAGTTATTTCAAGGAAATGTTCACCTTTTTTCCCCTCTTTCTCACTTATTTCTTCTTCTAAGTATCTATATCTTTGTTGTTTACCCCAACAGAAAGAGTTCTCATCCTTTCTAATCTTTTACTCATTCTTTAGTGGACAGAAAACTACCAACTTGCTTTAATTACTCCTATTCTTCATCTTTAATCACCCAAAGCCCCACCTTCACCCTGCAAAACCCACCACCAGATCTTAGCCTCTCCTTCACCCTGCAAAGCCCATACCACCAGATCTTAAGTTAGCAGGACTCCTACCTTGTCCTACATCAGTTTGGTTTCAGAGCCACAACTAGAAGTATCTTGGGAAAACATGACAAACCCTAACGTGAAAGAATCAATGCCAAGCTTGAAGATTTGGTTCATAGCCATAAAGAAGAGAAGGATCAACTTCATCATTGAATTGACTCTTGCATCTAGAGTCACTTATTTAGAGTTCTTTTTTTTTTGTGAGCAACATAAATTCATTATTTTAAAAAAGGAAAGAAACACTTCAATAATTATGGGCCAAATAAAAAGAGTAAAAAATGAAAAACCAATAGGGCAAAGCAAGTTCTATTAGTTTCTCTTGGTGTTTTAAGAGAGTTAAATGCAAAAAGGACCAATCAAGTTCTTAGTTTCTCTTGGATAAATTGGTATTTTTTTCTAGTTCTAAATCTAACACCCCAAGTGTGTTATTTTTCTCATTTCTTTTCCTAATGGAACCTTTTTCTTTTTATTGGATGACCATAAATCTAATATCAATTATATGGATCATTCTTCATATGTTTCCTTTCTTCTAAATTGGTCATTTGAATTATTTGAGAATTTTGCATATTTTTATTTTATCAGCAAAACAAATAATTTCATTAAGATTAGAAAATAGGATTACAACAAGAGGTTGTGAAAAAAAGAAAAAAGAAAACAGAGAAAACACAGATTCAGTAGAGCTGACCCAACCCAAGTATTACAATTGAGCCCAATTCAAGGAATGTCTTTGTACCCCTTGCTTAGCTAAACCATCTACCAAACTGTTTTCAGTTCTCCAAAACATTTAACTTGGATCATCATGCCTTTTGAAAGTCATTTAAAGCGCCTGAACTCATTCCATAAGTGCCATGCCACTAGGGATGGCAATTTTCCCCATCCCCGACGGGGATACGACTTCCCCGACCTGATGGGGTCAGGGATGGGGATTGTTTTGGCGGGGTGGGGACGGGGATGGGGACGGGGATGAGGATTAATAGGAATCTCCGATCAGGGTCGGGGTTGGGGATGGGGATTGAGGTCCCCATATATTAAATGTTATTTATATTAAATATACGATTATAATATTTATATTATATATCAAAATATATTTATATCCATAATTGTCTTCCTCAATCACGTCAAGTATGACCTGGTCTCGGGTCAAAAGATTAGGTTTTAGGAAGACATAAGGGTTGGAAAAACCCCCTTATTGGAGGTCTTCCCTTTTCTTTATGCTATCTCCGACTTTAAAGGTAGGCCGATGGCTGACTTCCTTTACTCCTCTCCCTCTCCTTTTGATCTAAACTAGAACTTGGGTTTCATTAGGAACCTAAGAGTGTCAGGAATTCCCCTTGTTTTTGCTTTGCTCTCCTAGTTGAATTCTGTGGTTCTTGGAGACAGGGTGTAGACAATAGGGTTTGGACCCTTACTCGGCTGGGACTTTCACCTATAAATTCAATTCCCTTGCAACTTCCTCTCCCTCCCCTTCCCCTTCATTCCTAGTAATGGTACGTTTGGTTGCTGCAATTGGGATGGGAAAATGGGAATATTCCCATTAGATTCCCATTTTCATGTGTTTGTTCATTGAGATGGGATGGGAAACCGTGGGATGTTGGTTCTCAAAACCAAGGATGTGAGGTCGCGCTGAAATGGTGCGACCCTGGTGAGAAGAGAAAATTGTGAGAAAAAAATGTTGAGACTTTCGACTGAAGCTCCGCAGCCATCCTCTCACCGTTTCCCTGCGTCTACAGCAATCAAGTCTCCGGCAGCATTCTCGATGATATCCGGCCAAGATAAGACCAGATCCATGACCATAGAATACATGCGACTATATTCTTCACGTTTTTGGCATCATCGATCTCCTCATGCCGTCGGGAAAACATGGTCGTTCGTCGGCTAAAATCCATTGTTTCCAGCGGTATAGAGGTAGATGTTTTACAGATCTACACTTGTGCTTGTAGAGCCTTGAACGAACATGGTCGTTCGTTGGCTAAAAAACATTGTTTTCCCGTTAAAACGTGCCAAGGTGTTTATGCCATTTTCTGGGTTCAAACCCGCTTCAAGGTAAGAGTTTTCTTCCCTCAAATCAGTTTTTCCCATGAGATATGTTTCTCTTCCCTCAGATTTGTTAAACCAGGTCCCAATTATTCTTTTTACTTTTTTCTTAATTTATTTTTATACGTTTTCTCATTGGGGTAAAGATTGGAGGCAGTGAGAACAACTCCAGATCTTGCTTTGCCCTTGTATCCTTTGCAACTTTGAAGGTGACAACCCTTCCTACATGCTGCTGAAGTATTAATTTATAAATATATTATTATTTGGTAATTTTTTTCTGGGCATTCTTCTTTTACTAATGAGGGGGAGGTTGGAACTCGCCTCGTCCACGCCACTGGTTTGAGTTCAAAGGAAGACGATGAACAATAATATTCCCTTCTCAGCAATCAAACACCAGAATGCCAAAATGAGAAAATAAAATTTTCCTTCTCGTCCCATTCTCTCCCATCCCATCCCTTCTCAGCAACCAAACAGACTATAAAAGAAATCTGGTGTCCTCCCATTCCCCCTAGATTTAGTGCCTTCTATTGGGAAGTGTTTCACAGTTGCATTAATATTTGTGAAAACTTCAAAGAAAAAGGCCAAACTGGTGCTTGTCCCCCAACTAGTGCAGCTTGTGCAAGGTTAATGGTGAGACTGTTTTTCATCTTTTAATCCCTTGTCCCTTTGTTGGCTTTATCTGGGAGTGATTTACCTCACTTTTTGGTTGCATGTGGCTCTCTATTAGCTTGGGAGGGTTGTTTAACCCTTCTATTTGTAGGTGCACTACTAAAAGACGTAGACTGATGTGGATATGTACAATTTTAGCTTTATGTTCTACTACTTGTAGTAGCAGTAGTAGAAACTGAATTGTAAAATTCAAAATTAGTTAACATTTATTGATTATAATATAATTTGAATCAACATTTTAAAATGTAGAGGCGTGACACGAGGAGTTCCACTACCTAGAAGTGTGAGGCATGGTTCAGAACGCAAGAGGCGTAAGCCTCCTTAAGAGGAGGGGGGTTAGGAGGAAGGGGGTTAGGAGGAAGGGGAGGAGGGTGAAGAGGAAGGGGGGATCTCATTTTTTTCTTTATTTGTAATAAAAATCTTTTATGTTAAGAAGAATAAAGATGCATAACATAGGCATTTTCTATTTACTTTTAACTATTTATACTTTTATTTTTATTTTTATTTTTATTGTTATTATACATTTTCTTCTTTTGTTGCTTTTATTTTTTATAATAAAAGGATATTTCTATTAATAACAGAAGAAAAGTACATTCAGGTGATGAGCTGGCACCAACACAACACAAACAATAACAAACATAAACTATTGCATTGCATAGGCATTCAACCTTATCCCAAAACCTAGACCCGAACTTTGCCCCATTCACCTCTTTAAACAAAGGAAGAGTCACAATCCAATCCATAATTAGATTGCCAATGACAACACATTTTTTTGGATGAGATGTCAATACAAATTCTTTCACATTGACCATCATAATATAATTTGAATTATTTTTATTTTATTTTCTTGTAAATATGTCATACTTTTATTTTTGTTTTAATTATTATTATACATCTTCTTTTATTATTGTGATTAAGATCACCACTATCATAACATTACCAACCTAATCAATCCCAGAACTTATTATTTTCAAGAATCTAGTAGATGGAACATTGAACATGACCACTGAGTTCCAGGTTCAAATCTAAAGATTGGCATTCAACACTCAACATTTAAGAAAAGAGGAAAAGAAAGCTTACTTTCTTCGTGATTTGCTCACACTGTGTTCCTTTGCCAGATGCCGGAGCACCGGATATCATGATCTTTAAGGGCTCTGGTTTGACAGAAGCTATTACCTGATGGAAACAAAAACAGAGCTCGCTCCACAGACAACAAATATCAACCAATCTCCTAATTCTAACCTATCGTATAAGACATATCTAACTAAAAACACAGGAATTCAACAATGAAGAGCGAACCAAACTAAAGCAGATGACAAGAACATCCAGTTACATACCGGGACAGCTAAAGCGGTGACGACAGCCGAGCTCTTCTTCGAACCGCGGACTTTTAGGGTTTCATTCAGACGAAGAGAAGCTCCAGAAATGAATCCAATAGATGGAAGTGGCGAAACAGAGGTGGAAAGCTTGAGGGTTTTAGTAGGGGAGGGAATAAGAGAAGCAGAAGTCTGAGATATTGGCTTTCCCGAAACAGGAAAATTGATCGAGCAAGCCATTACTTTGGTCCTTTCGCTCGCTCGGGTTTCCTTTCTCTCTCTCTCTCTCTCTCTGGGTAGAAGTAAAGGGGAGAAGGAATCTAAAAGTGGAAAGAAGTAGACTGCAGAGAAGTTATTAGCTCCGGTGTTCGTTCCGGCCAGTGGCGTTTGATTAAATAAATGAGGAGAAGGTATTCTTTCTGTAAGGCCACGTACGTTAGTTTCGGATCTTTTGCGGAATAGTATTGAATGCATATCATATCATTATTATATGATAGTACATCTTTATCCTCAAAATCTGGCCGTCATTTGTAGATCTTAGACCAAATTAAGTCAACCCGTTTGGGAGGAGCCCGGATCTACTGCAGTTGGTGCGCCGAACTAAGGGCTATTAGCCTATTACCCGGTTACTAACGAAAACGGCACAGTATTCAGCGCCTTTATCCTGCCGAAATCATAAAAACTGCCCACGTATCGATTGCTATGATTTATGAGAATGGACCGAGTGGTGGCTTCCGCTGGCTAGCCCCATAAATGATGGAGATTACTTTGGCTGTTTGGGAAAAACAGCCAAGGCTGTTTTGGGAGCCTCGACTCATGACACCGGGTCGGAATGTAGTAGGGACTATAGCTAAGCACAATGACTGAGTGAGCACCTAATTTGTTTCGTTAGGAATTATCTATTATCTTATTATTTTTATCAAAATAATTAAAAATAAAAAATAATAAAAATGGAAAACCTAAACGTGTTGGAAATTGGAATTTATTGGACTCTCTCCAACCTTATGTTGTTTAGGTTTTTCTTTCCGATTCCTACCTTCAATTGTGAGGACGACAATTCAACCCCCAAGTACTTGACTCTCAACCATACCCCACTCAGCCCTGAAACCCACCAGGAAGTGAATGGTGTGAGAAGTAGCATCTACTCTGAAAGGCGTCTCTTCCCTTCTTCAACGAAACCGAGTGGATAAGAAATCTGAAGAAGTCACATTTGTGAGTATAGATAGAATAATGATGACTGGGAGTGTGAAGTTGATATTCATGACAAAGACAAACCGGTGCTCTCTGGCGTATTGGAGATGTCTAATTGGTCTCCACCGATAGGCATAATCTATGAAAGATTCTCCAGGATTATGAGTCATGGACTCAAGATCTGCTTGATCTGGCACTAGTTCCTTTGGGCATAGGGTGTCGCAGTTTGGATGCCATTTCACGCCACCGATAGGCATAATCTATGAAAGATTCTCCAGGATTATGAGTCATAGACTCAAGATTTGCTCGATCTAGCACTAGTTTTATGTTATAAGAAAAGTGGTCTAAAATATTATTTTCCCCCATTTCTCCTTCCCTTGCCTAAGATGCTTACTTATAAGAGAGTGATTAGTCCGTTCAGAGCTGTCTACCCATAGAAGAAGGTAAAGTTTGCCTCTTCTCAAAGTCCCAAAGCAAGCCTGAGAAAAATTAATTATTGATAAAGAGCTCTATAGTTGAACTTCCTATTGACCTCCCAACCCGTAATAAAGCCATCATCTTTTTCCAAACTAGGGCATAACTACAACTGCCAAAGCATAATACATTCCCTTTGAATAATGCCTGAGTCGGCATAGAACAAAGGCATCATCCTAACCTAGTGCATTGTCGATTAATCACAAAAACGACTGGAGGCCATCCTCAGTCGTTACTCTTTCCTTAATTATCCCTTGAATTCAGAAAAAGTCGCTAATTAGCCAATTGAGCTTATGCACTAGACCTTTTTTCGATAAACTAGCCAAACCCATAGGATGCACTTCAGGGGTTATCAAAGGGATAAAAAAATAATAAAAAAAGAGAGAAAGAAGAAAAAAGAAAACAAAAAAAAAATGAGAGATGAAGAAGAAGGAGAATGCCCAGTGGAGCTTTGCTTGACCTATGCTCAACATATGCTTCTTCAATAAGTGGCATGCAGTCAATGATGAAATGAAGGGAGGCCATCATTGGCTTCTTGTTTGACCTTGTGCATTCAATCCTAATAATGTGTAATAATATCTCCTAGTTAGTCCTTTAAGCCTCCCTGTCAATCTTTTTTTCACAATAAACACTTTCCAGCGAGTGGATGTCAAAACAAGCAGAAAGCGATTAGAGTAATTAAGTAAGAGCTCAAAAAAAAAAAGAAAGGGGGAATGTACTTTTGGTAGCTTTGTTAAGAATGAAATACTCAAGTAAGTGGGGCAATTATCAAGAAAGGTCAATGCAAGAAGTGAAATGGCAAATGAAAAATCAAGAAACTGTTAGAAGAAATTAAGGCAATTAAGATGATTTTATCCTTATAGGAGCTTTTATGATGACACCCACATGCTAATTTTGATTTTCCCTACCCATTTACATTTCGTCCCAAAATAAAATCATCATTGATCAATAAGAAGGCATGATTCATGTTGATGAAAAATATGAAGAGCAATCTCCATCCATATGGCCATGAAGAGAGCGTTGACAAAAAATCAAAAAAAAAAAGAGAGAAGAAAGAGAGAGAGAGAGAGAGAGAGAGAGAGAGAGAAAAGAGAAGATGAAAATATGATGATAAAGAGTAGACCTTGAATTAAATCCCTGGAATGGTGATTCAAGCATTTGATGCCTATATTAATTGTTATTTGGGCCTTTTCAACTATCATTTGTAACATCCATCTTATACCATATTTCGTCCTAATGAGCAAGACCTCATTGATCTTTAAAAAATCGGCAAACCAGCACTGGATAGACCTATTTGGCCGACAATGAAGGACCATAGTTGTCACTCGCTCCATTAAAGTATCAACTTCATAACCCACCATTTTTATTAACCAAAAAACAAGAAAAGAAGAAAAAAAACTAGGGCAAACCCCCTATGATAAGGCTTTTCTTACAACAAAACTCTTGTTCAACAACTTACAATTCCATCGCACATATTTTTGAATTCAATGAGTTTTGAGTAATGACCTTGAAGAGAGGATATACACTCTCAGCTAATGTGAACCAGACATAGCCCATTTGGACATAATTACTCTCATATGAGTTAAGGTTAAAGGCACTTTTTCCCTTGAGTCTCAAAGTTTTTTCTTCTTATCATTCCCATATTTCATGTCCTTATGCATTGCTTGATAATTGAAAACTTCCTTGTACAACACTTTAATGAGATGTTTTGACCTTCTCAGTACATACCCAGCTTCTATATTGGCTTTAAACACATCATATCCTTTTGCTTACTCAAATTCCATTTGTCATGTCAACCTCTATACTTTGACCCATGTCAAAAATCCCGTTGGTCATTGTCAGCCTCTATGCCTTGACCCGCGTCTATCTTCCATTGGTCATGTTAGCCTCTATACTATGACCCACGTCTGAATTGAGTAACTGGAGATGATATAAACGATAATAAGAAAAAGAGAGAGAGAGAGAGAGAAAGGAAAATAAAAAAAGAACAAAATGAAAAGCAATAAAAAAAAGGAAAGAATGATAAATAGTGATATCTAAAGCTTGACAATGAGTTCTTCACATTGTGCTATGTCAAAGAGCAGTTATACTATATCAATTTCATAATCTCTATTAAATATTTGAAACATTTCACTAAACTCTTTAAGAATTGTAGGAAATCTTTTAGTGATTGAACATTTGCCTTGCCTTGCTTTTAAAGATTTATCTTAAGTTATTTCTCCTTGACAACAGGTATACCTTGACTCCGTATGGTTTCTAATACCTAGGAGGGGTCACTTTGCCAAAATAAATGATTTTCAAATTTTGAGTTGTTTGTATTGTTTTCTTTACGGCAAATGTACCCTAATTCCAAAGGTTCATGATACCTAGGAAAGGTAACTTTGCCAAAAATAAAATGGCTTGAACATGATGGAAACGATGTTTCACGAGATCTCTTCTTCACTTTTTCCCTCACAATAATCTTCCTTCTTCGTCTCGCCCCTCTTCTACCTCACAACAATGAGGGGCAATTGTCAGCACCTGATTTTTCTCAATCCTCTGTCTGAACCCCTAACTCACCCCAAACACCCTATCAGACCCTTCCAACCTCTTCGAAACACCTAAAAACCCAAGAGACCCAAATTTCACCCCAAGAGCCCTCAAATCCACCATTAAATCTAATTGATACCAATCCAATAACCCCGATCAACCACAACTTACGCTTTGAACCTCAAATCAGACATTACCCTTGGACCCTAAAATCACCCTTCCCTCATTGTCGAGTTACCAAATTCCCAAAATACCCCCTAACCAAATTCCCAAATTACCCCTTGCACCAAATCCCCAAAATACCCCATGGGTTAAAATTACCAAAATACCCTTGCCTTGCCCACGCTCCATGATCAAAATGTGCAGTCTCTTGCTCACGCTCAAACTTGACCATAAGAACCCTAGGGAGCTGCTCTTGCACTACAACAGAAGGCTCCTACTCCTATTCGTGATCAGCAAGTATGGCATCCCCATCACGAGCAATGCCTCCCTAATGAACATTTGAGGCAATGACCATATCACCCACATTGGATGACTCTTGCCCTTCAACAGGAGGCTGAAGAGATTTTAGATCCTCCATCAAACACCTAATGACAGGCATTGTAGGCACACTAGCCAAGTCCACATCACAAACTCCCTATGGGAAAACGAACAATGCATCATGAACGAAAGCAAAAAAAAAGCATATCAAAGGATTGAACATACAACTTACTTATACACACCTCTTTATTCATAGCACATTCATATGGCACTTGAGTGGCGACATACTCGAGGCAATCTTTCCCCAACTTCCACCTATTTCAACACATAAGACTATAATTGCACATTTAGTCTAGGAAGAAAAGAAAATACTAATCGAAACATGCACTGAATCAAATATCAAGCACACTTACCAATTCAGAAACCTATGACTCCTTTCTCTGAGCACGGGGAGCCATTTTAATCACCCGTCCACCGGTGATGGGAATTGTCACAATGGCAGTGGGAGGGACTAGAACCACTAACTACACCAACTCCATGTGGGTATTCTTCCCCACTTCAGGCGAAGGATCTAGGTGATCCTAAGCAGCATCTCCAGAATGCTCCTATGAAACACCTTCGTCAGCAATAATATGCTCTTCTGCCTGGGGCACTGTAGCATCAAATACGACCACCGAATCACCGACAAGCCCCGTTATTGCTGGCCAAAAAGAATGAGCAATC